CCCCCCCCCCCCCCCCCCCCCCCCCCCCCCTACACGACGCCCGTCCGGCGGGACGGGTGGTCGGGGGGGGGGGAGGGATCCACATGGGGGTGATTTTTGCCCCCCCCCCCTCCCCCAGGAGCTGCAGAGCCTCAACGATTGGGGGCTGAACATTTTCCGCGTGGCTCAGTTCTCCAGCGGCCGCTCCCTGAGCTGCATCGTCTACAGCGTCTTTCAGGTATGGGGGGGACCTGCAACCACCCCCCCAAATCCATCCCATAATACATCCCGCCTCCCCCCCCACCAAAAAATCCATCCTATAGAACCCCATGAAACCCCATAAAACACCATAACTCCCCCAATAAATCCCATAGGAACCCTGTAGAACCCCATAAAACTCCATAGAAAGCCACAGAACCCCATAGAACCCCATAGCACCCCACAGAACCCCATGAAACCCACGTAGCCCCCCTTAAACCCCTCATAACCCCTAATGGAACCCCATAGCCCCCCCATGAAACCCCCCCCTGTCCCCCCTTACAGCCCCCCTGACCCCCCCATATCCCCTATAGGAACGCGGGCTGCCCGGCCGCTTCTCCATCCCGCTGCCGGTTCTGCTGCGCTTCTCGCGGGCGCTGGAGCTGCGCTACCGGCGGGACGTGGCCTATCACTGCAGCCTGCACGCGGCCGACGTCCTGCACGCTGCGCACGTCCTGCTGCGCTGCACCGCCCTGCGCGTGGGTCACGGGGTCACGGGGTCACCGGGGGTCACGGGGTCAGCGGGGGTCGTGGGGGTCATGGGGTTGTGCAGGTCACAGTGGGGGGCTGGTGGCAGTCATGGGGTTGGGTGGGAGTCACCAGGGGTCATGGGGGTCACCAGGGGTCATGGGAGTCAAGGGGTCGTGGGGGTTGTGGGGGTCATCAGGGGTCAAGGGGCACATGGGGTCACCAGGGGTTGTGGGTTTGCAGGGGGTCGTGGGGAGGTGGTGGGGGTCACAGGGTCCTTATGAAGGCCCCCAATTAGCGGGCTCGTTAATTGCTGCCCCCCCCAGGCGGTGTTCTCAGACCTGGAGGTTCTGGCCGCCCTCTTCGCCGCCGCCATCCACGACGTCGATCACCCCGGGGTCACCAACCAGTTCCTCATCAGCACCAGTCAGTGCCGCGTGCAAAGCGCGCCGTGTGCAAAGCGAGCTGTGTGCAAAGCGTGCCATGCGCAGCGCCCCCCCCGCACTCCGGTTGCACACTTCCCCCTCGCCCCCCGCTCACGCTCGCCCCTTGCACGCGCCTTGCAGGCAGCTTCTGCTTTGCGTGCTTTGCACACCCGTCTCACACGCTCCCCCTTGCACACTTCTTGCACACTTCCCCTCGCACACCTCCTGCACTCCCCCCACTCCCTCTTCCACACCCCCATCGCACACCACACGCACATCACAGCCCTTGCACACTCGTCCCTTGCACACTCGTCCCTTGCACGCTCATCCTCCCCTTTCATGCTCACCTCGCACGCTCGCTGTGCCCCTCAGACTCGGCGCTGGCCCAGCTCTACAACCAGCAGTCGGTGTTGGAGCAGCACCACGTCGCCGTCGGTTTCCGGCTGCTGCGCGACGACGGCTGCGACATCTTCCAGAACCTCAGCAGCACGCAGCGCCGCCGCCTCCGCGCCATCGTCACCGATGTGGTGCGGAATGTAGTGCCCCATAGCTGCCCCATAGCTGCCCCATAGCCACCCCCAAGTGTCCCCAGTGGGTCCCTGTGGCCACGGGAGGGAAGGTGCCCCCCGATGTGACCCAGGCACTGTTCTGACGTGGCTCCGTGCCCCCCCCCTTTATCCCCCCCAGGTCCTGGCCACAGACATGGCCAGACACATGGCGCTGCTGGCCGACCTCAGGGCGGTGGTGCAGACAAAGCAGCTGACGGACAGCGGGGCGCTGCGACTGCACAGCGACAGCGCGCGCATCCAGGTGGGGCAACGGGGGCAGGGGGGTCATTGGGGGTGCAGTGGGGTCACATTGTGGACACAAATGGGGTCACGCTGGGGTCACACCGGGGTCCCCGCAGGTGCTGCGTGCCGTCGTGCACTGCGCGGATCTCAGCAACCCGACGCGGGCGCTGCCGCTGTCGCGCCAATGGTCCGAGCGCATCATGGAGGAATTCTTCCAGCAGGGCGACCGCGAGCGGCAGCGCGGAATGGAGGTCAGCGCCATGTGCGACCGCGGCACCGCCTCCATCGAGAGGGCACAGGTGGGACGGGGGCCCGGGGGGGAACGGGGGCTGGTGTGGGCGCGGGTGCCGGGTGGGGAGGGGGAGGTTAGGGTTAGGGTTAGGGTTAGGGTTTCTATGGGTCCTAGGGTTTCTTAGGGTTAGGGTTAGTGGGGTGACCCCAAATAAAGGTTCTGTTATGGCCGTGGGTGGGGAGGGGGAGGTGTGGGGTCACCGAGGTGTTGCTGTTGGGTCTCCACATCCACAGGGGGTACGGAGACCACCACCCCCATCCCCACACCCACCACCCATTGACCCCCGACCCCTAAACCCACCGTGACCCCTTCCTCCCCCCTTGACCCCTAACCCCCCAGGGGTTACCCTTGACCTCTGACCCCCCCAGGTGTGTTTCATTGAGGAGGTGGTGCAGCCGCTCTGGGAGACGTGGGCTGCGTTGGTGCGACCTGAAGCGCAGGAAATGCTGCAGGCGCTGCAGCGCAACCACGAGTGGTACCGACAGCGCATCGCCCCCCAACCTGGGAGCGACCCCCCCCCCCAGGGGGGAAACACCCCCCCCATGGAAAGCAGCTCTGAGCTGAGCTGAGCCCACATGGGGGGCGATGGGGATGGCCCCCCCCTCCCACGGCAGCACCCCTTCTTAGGGGGTGTCTATGTGGGGGGAAGTGGCGACCCCCTGTCCACATTATGGGGGTCTGTACTGGAGGGGGGGAGTGGTGACCCTTGCTCCCCCCCAAGCATCACCCCCTCCCTATGGGGTTTCTGTAGGGAGGAGAGTGGTGAGCCCCCCCCCTCCGCATTATGGGTGTTTCTATGGGTGGGGGGAATGTGGTGACCCCCTCCCCACAGCATCACCCCCTCCCCATAGGGTTTCTATGGGGGCAGGTGTGATCCAGCCCACACACATGGGGCTTTTATGGGTGGGGGGAAGAGTGGTGACCCCCCCCCCACCCATGGCAGCAT